CAGGGGATCTCGTAGTCGAGCAGTCTCGACTAGAGCTTTCTTACTTGTTTAACTTACCTATTAACTCTTAACAACTGAGCTCTATTAAATGAAACAAAATAAACAAAAGTGTTTATCTTTTGAATTACATATTTGGCAGCATGAAAACCTTATTAACTTATTTTAATAAAAGAACAGATGATTAGACTAAATAATATGTAAAACAGGTAAGAAAGCTTTAATCAAAACGGCTCGACTTCGAAATCCCCTGATCCCTTCGAAGAACTGATATTTCACAATAATTCGTAGAGTCTTTCTGCCTTCACAAGAACTACACGCAATCACACGCAGAACAAGAAGGGTCTAGTCGAGACTGCTCGACTAGAAGATACCTTGAACCCTTCAATCTGATATCCTAATCATTCTGCACTTCTTCTAGGCACTCATACATATACATGCATCCAGACATACAAAAATAAGACAAACTGGTACTGCCTATGATATACACGATGATATGATTGATATAAACTTATTTGTGCATGTATATGTTGCTAACATAATAAGATGTTTTTAATAAGTGGAATTATTGGAATATCAGCTTTTTACAAAATTCCGCGTATATCTTAGTAGAAAAGTTTCGACTTTTGCCTTCCACTTGTTTATGTAAGCAGAGAAGAATCTTTGAATAACTAAAATATTATTTATTCGTCAAGCCAAACGATACAGTAAAGCACAATTATTTAATAATATAATTAATAAATAATAAAATAATAATTTAATTAATACATATAATTATATCATTTTATATTTATTATAATTTTATAAATATAAAACTCTTTCAGACATGCGAAGGCTATATTAGAAAAGGATAGAATCAGAAACACTTTAAGAGACATTGATAATGAATTCGATCGCCTGCAAATTGCTCTCCGCCAAGAAGGAGATGAAAAAAAGAAAATTGAACAGAAATTATCTCATTTTAATAATTTGACTGATGAAATAAAAAAGCTCAAATCAAAAGTAAACACTATCAATAAATCATTTTCTTGTAAGTATGTACAAAATTGGTTCTTTACCGAATGTAGTTAATTCGTTTCTCTCTATTATTTTTCTTTTTAGCTTTGGACCAAATCAAACAAAAATTTGAAAACACTGTGTTATCGGATTTCAGAAAAATGTTTGAGGTCGAGCAACACTTACTGAAGTCGTTAAAGCTTGTAGATAAATTAATTGAAGGAAAGAAAGTTAATCAAATAATGGAAAGGGCCCATACACAACAAAATGCATCTAAAATTAATAAACTAAAAGAGAGGGAAGAGCAGTTCTCAAAAGCCTCTGTAAGTTTTATTTACTAAACAAAATAAATAAATAAACATATACATTTATCAATTTTTATTTCAGGCTTTAATCAACAGATTGACAGGATTAGTACAAATTACATCACAACAAATTGACTCTAAAGCTGTGGAATTGCGGTGCCTCTGCAATGGATATCTACCATCAAATAATGATTTTCCATTTAAAAATTATTTTTATCAGATAAGAAATCTTAGCTTAGAGCAGATTTTTGAAGCAATTCTTGACTTTCAAGCTAGATTGGATTGTATGAAAAATTTAAATTCAGAGGTGACATTTGTAAATTTCTGTTTAACATTAAAATAAATTTATAAATGTTATTACAGGCAATTGCGGATTATCAACGCCGCCAAGCCGAGGTTGAGGAATTAAGGAAAACCATTGAAGCCAAATCAACCCAAGAAAAAAATTTAGATGCTGTAATGAGTACTTTATTCAACCAATGGGAACCACAACTCATAAAATTGATTGAGACAATAAACAACAAGTTCAGTGAGTTTATGGACTCTTTGTCGTATGTTGGAGAAGTGGTGTTATCGAGAAAGGATAAGGTATCACACATATTATATCAAAAACTGGCATACATAAATATTATTACTTAAAGTAGTTCATTTATTTTTTTATTTTTTTTTTTTTTTTTACACTGACAACATAATATTTCAATGCATTTAAACTATATACATTTTCAGAGTGATTTTGATTCTTATGGAATTCAAATAATGGTCAAGTATAGAAAGGACGCAAAATTACAAACTCTGGACAAATATATACAATCTGGTGGAGAACGTGCAGTGGCCATCGCCATATATTCATTGTCATTGCAGCATATTACACAAGTACCATTCAGGTACGTACGAAAGAACTCCAATCGACCAGAAGCCTCGTTAAAAAATATGTTACTGTTTTACCTATCATGTTATCACTTATCGTTTTATAGTGGAAATAGTAATGATAAGCTCTAGGCAACTGGTGGCGTTTCTTCCTTTTGGACTTCGTTAGAAGTCCAGTAACAATATGAAATCGCCCTTTGAGGGGGACCTACTTGGCTATTATTCTTAACATGTGGCGGGTTTTTCAAATGATTAATTTGTTTCGTCTAAATGAAAGGGACCGTTCTCATAGGTCTCAGTTATTGAGCTCAAATGCTTGGTGGCTACAAGACATTTTTTTACACAGCCTGTAGAGAGCAGGTTGATATTTAGTGAATTTAAAATATTGTTGCGCCGAATGCTTTTGTTTTCTGACTATTTGCTGTCTTGGTGTCCTTTGTGATATGGCAATCTAAAGATTTACGCCATTGGGCAGAAGCTGAGGAGTAAAAGTGTTCTTGAATTTTGTATTTTTCTCCACGCTATAAAGGTCATTAGATTCATTGATTGCTAAGATTTATTAACTCTCCTTTAGGCCCTTAAAGCATCGAAAGATTCTATTTGATAGTTAATATGCCAAAGATATTTATTATTGATTTTTTATCCAATTTAATAGAATCATATTTCTATATGAACTTTCATAGCATGCTAATCGAATTCAAATGTATACTCTATTCAAATTTGGACACGTAGTATAAAGCGTTTTGCACACTTATTTTCGAGCATTGGTTTCCAGACCGCTCGTATTTGCTCGGCTTCTCACTTTTAGGCTTGTGCTACGAAAATATGGGAACACAAAATCACTTCTCTTCATGCGCTCGACCGAAATAGTCGACTGTTAAATACAAGATCCCTCTATGCTAAATGTTTCCCTTGCTCTCTCTCTCGATGCTCTCCGCTCTCTCAAATGTGTCTGGTTAATGCTTTCATTGAGTATGGTATATATGTAAATATGTATTTACAATTGTAAATCTAGCTTACCGTACGTCAGCATTCGTATATACAGAAGGCCCGTTATATACATAGGTTCGCAGCGTATTTCAACCAGCGCCTAAAATGAATGTTGGGTACCTATGTATGTATGTACATATGTATGTTGATGTGCGCGTGTATATGTGCATATTATTTTTTGTGAAAACAGAAACAACAAAAGTTAATTAAATATCAGTTGCTCGAAGGGTTCAGAGGATTTTGGAGTTGAGATCTCATAATAGCCTTTTAGATGGTGGTTGAAATAAGTTGCATATTTTTACTAAACAATAATTTTATGATTGCAACAGTTTGAAATCGCTAAATTCATAAAATGCCTACATATTAAAATTAAAAATTTGAGTGTCGATAAAATACAGCTTTTTACATAGCATCTGTAAATAATCATATGTATATAATATTTATATTTTCTAGATGCGTTGATGAGATTAATCAAGGTATGGACGCTAAAAACGAGCGTCATATTTTTAACTTACTTTCAAAGGAGGCTACCAAGGATGGGTCCGCACAATATCTTTTCGTTACCCCGAAGGTAAGAATTAGGTATTGTAAAATGTTATATTTTTATCTAATCCCTTTTTTTTTAGTTACTACTTGATTTGAACTACAATGAACGAATTTGCGTGTCAGTTGTTCATAATTCTGGATCTATTAAATCTGATGTTATATTTCCATTAAGCTAGTTTCTTTAGTTATACATTTGTTCCGTAAGATTTATTTTTATTTTTGCTCATCTATCGACTTATTTATTCTATGTACTTGTTACAACCATTTTTCTATTATTGCCGATAATTAGGTCACTGGGAATATTTTGGAAGACTACGTCACAATATAAAAAACTTTTACTTTAATAAAAGAATAAAAACATTTTTTCAACTCCACAATTTTATTTTAACATACTATTTGATAGATGCTTAAATTACAATAAAAGAGATTTTATTTATTTTAAAATTAAATTAATATCCACTTGACTTAAACTGAGGTTTTTACTCCCATTATATTGAGACTTAGTAGGCCAGTAGGAGACTCATGATAGTATTTATCAATAACTGCTGACCTAAAAAATCCCAACTATAATGAGGGCACACGCCTTCAACCCTTTATGACTGGGGAATTGGTCAGCGTTTATTTTTGCTTGAATATTATCGATCGAGAGACTAACTGCAAACAATTTTGAACGAACATCTTTTATATGATTGAAAATCAATGTGTTTAATCAAGCGATTACTGTTGATATTTTGTATATTGATATGAAAATGATAACGTATACACAGATGTGCGTAGCAGAATTCAAAATTCAGAGCAAGGTCAGCTATAAATAGTAATTTGATATTATAAGTAAGAAAACTCTATTCGCGAGTGCTCGACTACCCTGCTACCCTGAACGAAAAAACCCTCATTTAATATGGTAAATGTATATTTCGGTTAATTTAAAAATATAAAAACTCATTTAATTAAATATAATATTAATTTTTCTTAAATAAATAAAAGTAAACATGAATTTCGCGCTCTGGAGTGGAACCCGACACAACGCCACGTCACTTTTTGAAATTTCGATGAAAACTGAAATAGATTCCCTGCTGCAGCGCCATCTAGCAAAACTAAACTAACCTAACTGCAATTGTAATTCTAATTCTAAGAATGTGCTTGAATAAGTTCGACTGTATGTGTGCACACTTATAGGTGTAACTGGTGTAGCTGCTGCACGTGCGTTTGTTAATTGGCCAAAAATGTTGTTATTTTAATAATAACGGAATTTAATGAAACATGTGATCTACATATTCTGTCGAGTATTTGGCAAATTAAAAAAAAAACAAGTAAGAAGACTCTAGTCGAGACTGCTCGACTAGGAGATACCC